AAAGCTTGTACCTAATTTATATATAAATTCAAATGAGAAACTTTTTGTTTTTCATACCATAAATGGATGAATCAATTCAGAGAATTTACCTCCATATGAATGAACGCAATCGAAATATTCCTGGATTCCGCCATTATTCCAACGTAAATTCGGTTTATCAGCAAAACGAACTACTTCGCAATATGATTGATAAAAGAAACAAGTAACATCTTTCTCAGAAAGGATACCACCGGTGAATAAACCATCCAACAAATAAAGAATAGCTTTTTTGGCCTGAGTAAGACCCGATCCTGCCATTGATCCTATAATCAATTATGAATTAGTAAATATACAAGACCAGTAAAGAATATATATATATATATATATAAACATCGAAATGGGATTGATTACCTGAAATATCAAGGCAGATGAAAAGTGAAAGTTTACGATGTTTATTTTCAAACCATTCGTTAATCAGATTTTCAGAAACCTTAACGGACAAGACACTTTTGTCTTCAGACAAATTAAAGTATTTGACATCCGATTCGGCCATGGTTCTTAGTAGTTTTTAATGTGAAAAGATTTATTTTTTTAATAAACGACGTAAAATTGTATCGAAACTAATATCGAAATTATCATCTTTAAATAAATAAATTCAATTACTGCGTATGTGATATGCGGAAATTCTGGTTGAAAGTTTATTCTGCGGCTTATTTTACGATTTCAATTTAATTTTTTTATTGTCCTTATGCTACGCATCATTGAAAACTACGCCTTTTAACCACATAATGAATTGTCACTACCTACGCTACTTATTGAAAATTTGGTCACACGTACTTTCTCCTTAATTGGCCATAATTAGTTAGAGTTTTGTTTGTTTTTATCGGTATGATGGCATGGCTTAACGCCAGTAACCGCCCATTTAGCATTTTACCAGTTGTGTGGCGCAGTCAAAGTTTTATATGTTAAGGTAGCTTTTGTTATTATTAGAGATTAGATACATATATAGTAAAATTACTCAAGGAAAACTTTTTGTTAGTGCGCGAAAAGTACGATTTTTGACAAAACGGCCGTTCGTGTTACGTTGCACCTAATCTTGAAATCTGATTCGTAGTTCAGGCAATCTGCGCCACAAACCTGGAACACACACAGTCGACCATAACACTTCAAGACTGAGATAGTGGGCTGTTATCATAATTACAACTCAAAATTGTCAATACTTGCAATGATGGAAACTGCGCACTAATGTTCATGGTCTAAGTTTTGCACTTGCTTTCAAATCGGAGTTTTCCTATTCAATTGTCCAAATACGGAAATGGATACAGTATCGGTTATACGTAACAATTAATTAAGAATACGTTTAGCAATACACGTACGTACGTACGTATTTTTTTTCTATGAAACGTGACATAATTTACTTTCGAAGTGCATTATAACTAGGGATGGGCAAATCGAAGACCTTCTGAATTTACTGGCAGCCTGCATTATGGTAGTTTTCTGCTAATGCGGGCCAGAATGGTTAAATTCCGAAATTTTCCAAACTTCAGAAATATTCCACCTGCGCAACGAATTAGAGATGGGCAAATCGAAGATTTTTTTGAATCTACTGCGAAGCCTGCACAGCCTGCACAGCCTCGATTCCTCTAGGAATCTAGAACCTTTTGCTCATTAGGTTCGTGGTTATATATATATAAAGCATCTACTTCATATGTGTAAAGTTAGACTCCCATCATTTTTAATTAGTGCTCCAAAGTCAGTTTTTCTTGCTTGGCAAATAGTCGTTAATAATTCTGGTCAAATTTGCAGATCATTTGGCCAGATCTAGAACAAACCAATTTTAAATGTGGTCAAATGATCTGCAATTTTAACAATTTTTGACCGGAATTATACACGATAGGTTCTATTTAGGGTTGTTAAAACTTACCTGACAACATAATTTACATGTAAGTTACACCGTAATTTACTGTAACTTACATGGCCCATATGTAAGTTACAATATATGTACTAAAGCCGGCCGAATCATGTGATAATTTCTACTGAAATTTATATAACAAGTAATTTACGTCACTTATACGTAATTTCTGTTTTCTTTTATTACAGTATTAAATCTCTATATATTAACTTACATAACTTACAAGGTAATTTACGTCAGTTACAATAAATTTACATACAGTAAA